ATATGTGTGTGTTCTTATAGCCCAAGTCAAGGATCTGTAAACCTTTGCATTAAGATTATAACCACCATTGGAAAAAGTTACTATAACATCAATCTTAGTACCACCGTGAGGATAAAACTATGCTAAAGCCAGGGCCTCCCAGTAAATAAATGCTCTTGGCAAATGTCCAAGAAAATGTTATGGTAAATTTCAAACCCGTTTTATCTAAGGTCAAAAAAAAAAAAGTTATCTGAAACACTGGGTTATGTTTAAACAGACTGTAACTAAAAGTTTGGTATCAAATAATCACTCGGAAAAATCTTTACTCTGTAACTAGAATGTACTGGAAATCTAACTATGGGGGCATTGGTGGTTAAGTGGTAGAATTTTAGCCTTTCATGCAGGAGACCCCAGTTCCATTCTCAGCCAATGCACCCCGTGCACAGCCACCACCCATCTGTCAGTGTAGGCTTGTGTGTTGCTGTGATGCTAAACAGATTTAAGCAGAGCTTCTAGACTAAGACTAGGAAGAAAGACCTGGTGATCTACTTCCAAAAATCAGCCAGTAAAAATCCTATGGATCCCAATGGTCCGATCCTGTTGTGCATAGGGTTGTCTTAAATTAGGGGCTGACACCACAGCAGTTAACAAGCCCAGCAAGGCCCATTTAGGCAATAGCTGTACCTAGGACTCTAAGTCAGATATTACTTAAGATACTATTCTGAGAAAAAAATCTCAATACCAATAGCCTCTATTTTGAAAGGAGATATTTTGCTTCCATTACTTTGGCAGAATCTGTTTAAATAATGATTTAGAATGATACCGAAAATCTCCATAGTTTCTATAATGTGGACAGCATGTGGGTGGTTAGCCTTTGGTTTCTAGCTGGAGCAATTGTTCACAGTCTCCTACTGTTTGTGGCTCAGATTCTTTTTAATCAGCTGTATGTCTGATAAATATATACCAATTTCATATATAAACAAACATAAAAGTGTTTTATATATATGTTAGTGAATGTGTGGATGTAAATATATGACGCTCAGAGAAGCTGTAACTTTCCACTCACAACAATTTTTTATAAATCAAAGCTCTACTAAACTGAGACGTAAAAGCCAACAGTTAACAAAAAAATCTAGTCAAACAATAGCAAGGTGAGCTATAAAATTAATTTTGGAAGCCAAAAAAAGTGAAACAGGTTCACAAAACCAACACATTTTCACTCTGCACTTTTAAGTTTCTCTACAAATTTTCACGTTTTTAAAAAGTTGGTTGGTACACTGACAAATGAATTTATGAAGAATGACATCCAAGGATAAATTTCTAATTCCCAAGAGAAATAATTCAAGTTTATAGATCTGCGTACAAAAATAATGGGAGCAAAAATAAACAGAAAAAGCAAACATGCTTTTACAGGAAATGCTAGCTCTCTGAAATATTAAAAGTAGGATGGACTAAACATAATATAAGGAATACACAAAATGCACAAGTTAAGCATGAATCTCTCTGATGTACTAAAAAACTACTGAAATTAACAATATCATTCCAATTAATACTCGTCACAAACAATGAAACAATGCAAGATTTACTGCAATATATTTTATAACCTACCAATACTGAGCTATTAAGTTTATATTAGTGATGTTTTAATGAAGGCTAATAGAAGACTGAAATTTGTTTATGCAGCAGTGAAAATGAAGCCTTACTGAAGATATTCAACATAAAACTTACCCTAAAATCTCCTTGATGCACATTCGCAACCAGAAATAGTTGCACAAATATATGCAGTACACTAATTTAACAATAGTTTGGGTTAAAAAGTTTGGATTTTCAATTTCCCATAATATAGGCAACATTTTTAGAAGTGATCACCTGAAAATAAAATGTGTCTTTCAGTTACAGAATGAAATTTTAAGCTGGCCAGGTACCAATGCCCTGATTTTCTACTTTTTCTTAAACCGTATGACTTCCACATGCTGAGAATGTTTTACAGTTTTAACCTGCAGTAAAAGCTTTACATCATTTTAATGCCCAGTGCTTAAAATGTAACAGAATCACTCCAACAAATGCAAGGAATATATCTAGTTTACATTTAACGATTTCAACCAGACTACTAATTAGAATAAGTCCAATGAGAGTTTTTACCAGTAAGTTTGCATTTCCAAAGAATAAATCCAACAAAAAAATTTTGAGCTAAGGGTAGGTAGAAGAGAAAACACTCATATTTTTCCGACTCTTAACAAGCATTTTCGGTATTTTTCTAAAAAATTATTAATATTTTAAAACCCTCTATCAGAATATCTTTAAGCAAAAAAAAAAAAAAAAAACTATTATATAGTTCCATAGGATTTTTCTTCAGTTTTTGCAAAGTGATGTTTCACATTAAGATACATGGTTAAAACAAATAATTCTGGAAATCCTGTCTATGACAACTAAAGTCTCGGCTTTGTATCAACATATTTTATATCATAAATTTGTGATTTAGAACACATCAACTTTTTGGTCAGGTCAGTCTAAATAGACATGCTACCTCACACTTATAGTCAGCTTATCTCTGTGAATGACCAACTGCAGAAATTTCAAATCAAAGGTTATAAAACATACCATAAAATTACATACTGTATCTATGTGGAGTTCAGTTTTTATAGAATCTAAAGTCCCTTCTGATAGGCAGCAGTTACAAGAATTAATAAGTTTGGGGTCAAATATGTAAATCTATTAAATTCTCAACAGTCTAAACAGAAATTATTACAATTCTTTAGTTATTTAAAAGTCCATTACACTAAAAAATAGTCACATAAGGTGTATTAAAGAACTTCTATTTCAGATGGAAGTACAAAATAAACTCTCTTAAATTCTCCTGTTGTAATGTTATTGACTATAAAAGACTGTAAGAAACAAGAGATATTGCAATCTTTTTCTCTTTATAGCTCTAATTGAAACTAACAAAAATCAGAATCCAAAATTTCCAAACTTGACTTATAAACATAATTCAACTACATTTAACAACTTAGTTGTGCAATTTAAAAATAAGTTTAATGCAAAGCACTGCAGTCCTGATGTGATAATTACCTGTGGCATAAATGCAAAATAAAAACAAATGCAGATCCTTTTCATCTAGTGATGTATATTACAGTATAAACCACAAAAAGCGCAACCATATTGGCACAAACTATATAAAAAGGCTCAGGAAGCATTATGTCCATCCAGGAAGAGAAATGTACCGTGCCAAGGAAGAAAGGAAGGAGTTTCTACATCTGCAGGATTCGGGAGAAATAAACTAGTCACCTCACTCTACCCTATATGATACATGAGGATTTTAAAGCTTAAGAGTAAATAAAAACAGCAATCACTTTATACTATTCAACTTCACATAGTATGGTATCTTTAAGGCCAACTGCATTCTTCCTTTCGTTCACCCAATGCTTCCTCACTCTTCCCTACCAGCTTTCAGGCAAATGCGAGGCAGAACAGGGTGGGGTAGAAGAAAAATACAAGCAGCGCCTTTCAGCTGCCCCCCAAATAATTTACAATAGCTTTTCCTACTACAAAAATAAGTCGCCCTATCTCAATATACACAATAGTCATTCTGTGCCTTCAGTAGACACAGAAACACATACACAATTCAGCACTCCGGATCCCCACCCCATGCCCCCCAAAATCTTAATTATTAATATATTTAACACGAAGGCGACGAGACACCTCCACCTACTGTTTCGGGGTGAGGGTGGGTGGAGGACTCCTTTCAAAGTAGCCCCAATAGTGTAACCAAATAAAATATCCGGAATAAAATATTAAGAACACTTTTCCTTTCCCACCTATCTACTGACTTAAGTATGCAAAAATCCATCTCCATATCACATCATCTCTACAATTCTCCTATCGGGAGTTTGGGGTGGAGATGTGTCCAGAGGAGGGGGCGGAGACGGGGAGGAGGGGTGTGAGCGGGCAATGGGATACAAACGAGTTGCTAAGCCCAGCTACCCAGCACCACGTCGTCAGTCAAACGTCCAGAAGCAGGACTTCATGCACGCTTCTCAGCCCAGGCCCAGTTAAAAGCTATGTTTCCAGCTAACTTCTTATCTATAGACATTTATCCAATACAAATATATCACACAAGTACATGTAACACAGTTTAAAACACAGTTATACACACCAAACACACCAACACACCTCAAAATCACGTCACAGTTTCCCAAACTCCAAACAGGAGACCCCCACCTTCCGGATTCAAACCTTCCGCCCACCGTGGAGGAAACAAGGAAAAAAGAGTTGGGGAGAAGCAGACGCCTTTCAATTAATGTACTCTATAAACTGCCCCACCCCATATCCTGCGTCCCGGTCACCTACTCGGAAGCCCCCTGCTTTCTCCCTCGTCTCAATTCGTCCGCTTAAGAGACCCTTCCCCATCCCACTCACTTTCTCCCCAAAACCTCTGGGGGAAAAATTTTTTAAAGTACAGAGAAGGAAGTGAGGGAAGAGACTTGAGGTAGTCCGCTTCAAAACCGCTCGACTCACCTCAGAATCCTTGCTGAGTTCTCTCCGCCTGGCACAGCCCCCTCCCCAACGTCCCAGTGCGAAGAGCTGAGACTGGGAGGAGGAGAAAGCGGGAGGGGGAGGGGTGTCTTCCGCGTGGGGTGCCCGTCGGGAGGGGGCTGGGGAGGGGTTGAGGCAGGCACAGGAAGAGGAAAGGGGGGAGGGGAGGCCCCTATCTCCCAGTCTCCCCCTGGAACCCTCCCTTGCCTCAATCACATCAGACTGACTGTCTTTGTCTGGCTGACAACCGCCATATTGATATCAACAGCCCCGCTCCCACCTGCTGCTGCCGGGTGGCCCTGGGAGTTGTAGTTCCTGCCACCGTTAAGTAAAAGCTTGAGACTCTTGCGTCTAGAGGCCTCAGAGAACTACAGCTCCCGGCAAGTCCCGCGTCTATCCGCCTGCCCACAGGGAGGAGGAAAAAGGGGAATCCAGAACCACCAGGACTACACCTACCAGAATACCACGGGTCCCAGGTCCATACCGGGGACATGATATCATGGTGGGGTGGAGAGGGAGGATGAAGAGACCTCGAGGATGACGGAAGGAGGAGTTCGGAGAGGAAAGGGAGAAAAAGAAAATATAACCACAGTTCCCATGATGCATCCAGGGATGACTACATTTCCCATGTTTCCCGGGGGGGGGGCGGGGAGGGAGGAGACTGCATGTCCGTTAATGCTCTCTGCGGGTTGGTGGCGGAGGTTGAACCGGAAGACGCCTTTTGGGTTTGAGGGGTCGAGTGACTGCTGCTGAACAGCCGAAAGTCCAATATGAAACTGGTGAGTTTCCACTTAGGTCAGAGGGCAAAGGTGATGCCATATCCTTTTGAACTTCGTCGCCTTTTAAACTTTGTCGTTTCCACCTTGGAAAGAACCGTCGGGGAGGAGGGGTGGCTGTTTCGGAACTGGAAAGTGGGGTGGACTAGGGAAAGCTGCTTTTTCTTGTCGAGTAGGTTGGAGTCCTCCCCCCTACCCCCTGTTCCCCGCCGTTCCCCTTAATACAACCCAGAGGTCTTATTCACTTATTGTCAGGTCCCTTCAGTCAGATAAAAGGTTAACTGTCTTCGTTTCTTCACTTATGAGCTAGGGTTGGAACATAGTCACCTATGACTTGAGCTTCCACGTGAGTGTTATAAATAGGCACACTAGTTGATACATGTTGAGGTCTTCTCCCTGCCCTTGTGGAGAAGACTTTGGCTAGACAGAAGAAGCGAGTAGAAGATATTAGGCAGAACATAATCACTTATTAAGTTTCCTGTTATAGTTTACTTATAATTGCCCTTTGAATTCAGAGAAGAAGATCAGCATGTGACCTTGGAGGATTTGAATCTTAAGCCCCGTATAGGATTTTGGATGGGCAGAGAGGAAGTGTTAATACACTCGGTCTAGGGCTGGTAGAGATTGCATGAGCAAAGGTTAGATGGAGCGTGCCAGTATACCTAGAGAAATCCTTGAATCACGGAGCTCCAACACTTATACGATAACATCTCAAGTCTTTATTTTGACCATTTACTGTTATTGTGCACACAGATGTTACAAGTTAATTCCAACTCTACTGAATTAGTAATAGCATAATTAGAAGAGTAGGAAAGTAGCTGTGAGACACTGCTTCTTAACCTTAAAATCCTGCAGCCAAGTTGTCAAGCTTGACCCATTGCCATCAAGTTGATTCCAACTCATAGCCTCATAGGTTTTCTAAGGCTGTAATCTCTACGGAAGCAAACTGCCACACGTTTTTCCCCCAGAGCAACTGGTGGGTTCAAACTCCCAATCTTTCTGTTAGCAACCAAACACTTACCCACTACGCCATCCATGAAAAGGGTTCAGCTTATAGGAGCATAAGAGCTTGGCAACTTAATAATTGGAACGCAGACTCTGTATCCTCAATAAGGGATAATTCGCATTTGGTGTTCTCGATTTTTCCCATAACAACTCATTTGCTGAAGGTATCAGAGAGCCAGGGTTAACTTCACATATACTTTGGTTTGCTAATGTTATCATCCTGCTTAATTAGAGATGTGAAAACATGGAAGAGAAAACAGTAGAAAAAAATTTTTTTCCTTAAGAACCAAAAGATGCCTCAGAGTGGGGGTGGGGTGCAAAACACTGTTCTCTGTATACTCCGTCCCTCTTTACTTTTAAACTGTGTATTATTATTGTTGTTAGGTGCCTTTCAGTCAGTTCCTACTCATGGAGACTCCAAGTACAAGGGAACAAAACACTGCCTGGTCCTGTACCATCCTCACGATCGTTTCTGTTTGAACCCATTAATCCACGTATTCCATACTAAAATTCATTTGCTAGTTAATAGATAAATGATATGTAATGTAGAATTTCTGTCAACATACCAACGTGGTTTCTAAAACATTGTTACCCATTGAGTAAGACTTCTCCCGTGGCCTAAAATTTTTAACTTCGTATACTGCTTTAGAGATAAGTGGTAGGCCATGTCTTTAACTTATATAATGAAACATAGAAGTACTTTTTTTTAAATAATTTGTTGGTGCTGTTGAGAATATACACAGCAAAACATAACACCAATTCGACAGTTTCTACATGTACAATTCGGTGACGTTGATTACATTCTTCAAGTTGTGCAGCCATTCTCACCCTCCTTTTCCAAATTGTTCCTCACGCAGTAATATAAACTTCCTGCTCCCAAAGTTTCCTATCTAATCCTTCGAGTTGCTGTTGTCAATTTGATCCCATATAGATAGATCATAAAAGAGCACAATGCTCAAGGCAGACATTCTTTTATTAGTTAAGCTAAATTATTGTTTGGTTTTAAGAAGACTTCAAGGGATATTTTTGGTTTAAGGTTTAAAGATTATCTCAGGGCAGTAGTTTCGAGGGTTCATCCAGCCTTCATGGCTCCAGAAAATCTGGATTCTATGAGAATTTGAAATTGTGTTCTGCATTTTCTCCCTTTTGATCAGAAAATAGAAGTACATTTTATTGGGCACGGTCTTGTTTTTGAGATTATGACTTTCCAGAGTACCCTTCCCATGTACAATCTATGACCACATCTTGCTGATTTTACTTCCTAAATGAATATTTCCTGCATAGGTCCATTTCTCTTCATTCTCACTTTTACTGCTTTTGTACAGGCTCTTTTCACTTGACACTTGGAATTCAACAGGGCCCTCTTCACTGGTCTCTTTGCATTCAGCCTTAACCCTTTCAAATCCATTTTGGACGTTGCATCACAGAAGTCGGTTTACTTGGCCCTGCCTACTTCTCCAGGCTCATGTCAGCCCCTCTTCTCACTTGTTCTCTCTGTTCCAATTATACTGAACATATTCCAGTTCCTTGAACTCATCCTGCTCTCTTTTGCCTCTGGGACTTTAAGTACATTCCATTGCCTGCAACAGTCTTTTTTGCTTGGCTAATTCTTATTTTCCAAGTCTCTGTTTAAATAGCACTTCTACAAGTTTTTCTTGAATGTAGTGCCCCTGTTATATGTTTCGATGGCATACTTCCCGTTTTGTAGCACTTATAATTGTTGGCTTTATGTCTGTCCTCCCTAGTATAGACTATGGGCCTGACAGAGAGTGTGACCCCACTGAATAGTAGTTGAATAAATAACTCCTGAAGGATTATTGAGGTTGTGAATACTGCTGAGAAAAGATTAAGAGGTGAAGGTAAAAGATTATAAGAAGCAGTATACATTGATGTAATAAAAGTAATAGTTGCTACCATTTATAGAGGAATTACTGTGTGCCAGGCGCTGTTCTAGGTACTTGCTAATAGTGTCCCATGTAATCCTTTGAGTTACATGATAGTATTCCTCTTTTACAAATTTAAAAAACTGAGCCTTGAGGAGGTGAAGTAAGTGGCTCAAAGTTACACAGATTACAAGCAATAGAACCAAGATTTGAGTCTATCTCCTGACTCTAGAATCCGTTGCTTTATGAGGTCAGGGTCTGTAGCACCTTGCACAGTGCCTGGCACAGTGCTAGGTTATCTCTTAAAGGAGGAAAAATAGAGTGCACACAGAGAAATTTTATTCAAGCCTATATTTAAAATTAGTTTTAAATGTGAATTTGATTAAATTAAAGATCTTAAAAAAGATTAATGTGAAAGAAAATAAATTATAAGTTTGGAAACTTTCTTGATAATCTAAAGGACCTCATACCAGAGCATACCAATTAAGTGCTGAAGTTAGTTTTTATACTACCCAAATTTAGCTTCCATGATATCATTTATGTTCTCAACTTTTCACATTACTCTCTTGGTGGCTTTTCACACATCCACATAATGGCAATGGATGTCATTATATTCTTGGATATCTTTTTCTTAGATACCAAGGCAAAAGATTTTAATTACTGTCTATTTTTATATTATGCTGTATTTAAGCAGCTGTATTTAACTGAAGAAAATTCATTGATACCTTCAATTAGCCCGAATCATTTTAGAAAGAACTGGAAAATTAGAAATGTGTCCTCTACACTGCACATTTTAGAGCATATCCTGTTATTGCATAGATTGAGCTTAGTTTGGTACATCCTGATGGCCAATTGAGCTAAGGATTCAAAAACCAAACCCTTTTTTGTGAATTTCGTTTTTTGTTTTACGTTTCTCTTTCTCTGTGTCTGGGACCCTCTGTTGTAATCCCAGTCAGAGTAGTCTGTAGTGGTAGCTGGGCATCATCTAGTTCTAGTCTCAGGTCACGTAGGCTGTAGTTCATGTGGTCCATTAGTCCTTTGGACTCATTGCTCCCTTGTGTCTTTGATTTTTTTCCCTCTTCTTTGCTCCGGACTGAAAGAGACCAATAGTTATATCTTAGCTGGCTGTTCACAAGCTTTTAAGTCCCCCGATGCTACTCACCAAAGTGGGAAGTAGAACATTGTCTTTATGAACTGTGTTGTACCAATTGATGTAGCTGTCCCCTGAGTCTATGGTCTTTTGCTTTCTATCCTAGGAACTTTATCCTGTGAGGTGTTTGGATATGTCTAAGAGGTTTCCCTGACTGTGCCACTCATGTGCTCTATTGTCTATATTAATATATGAGGAACACCTGCAGTCATGTATGTAGAAATATCCACCACCAAACCTGTATCTGTCAGTGGATGTGCTCCCTTATACTGTCCCACACCTCTTGGCATCTCTATGTATCCATTTGTAATTTATTGTTAATGCTATTATTGAAGGATTGTCTATTTAATAGTAATTACTAGTTGCCCTTTATTCATGCTCTCCTCTCAGTGTCCTCTCTTGCCTTGGTCACGTTCTGCAGACTTCTCCCATATTGTGTATTGCCTTTCCCGTCACCAATATTAAGTCATATCTACTATTTCTTTCTATCTACTATCTCTTTGGTAAGTTTTCGTCCCTCCCCCTACCATCCCTGGTAACCATCAAAGAGAAAGAGTCTTTTGTTTTTGTTTTTTTTTCCTGTGTGTAAACATTTTGTTGTTACTTTATAAAAGCAGTATCATACAATGTTTGTCTTTTTGTGATTGACTTATTTCACTCAGTGTATGGTGTGAGGCATGAGTCCTGTTTCATTTTTTTGTAGATAGATATCCAGTTTTGCCAGCACCATTTGTTGAAGAGACTGTCTCTTCCCCATTCAGTAACCTTTGGTCCTTTGTTGAAGATGAGCCGTCCACAGGTGGATGGATTTACTTCTGGGTTCTCAATTCTGTTCCATTGGTCTGTGTGTCTGTTGTTCCAGTACCAAGCTGTTTTGACTACTGTGGCTGTATAGTAGGTTCTGAAATTAGGTGGTGTGAGGCCTCCTACTGTGTTCTTCTTTAATAAAGCTTTACTTATTCAAG